AAGTGTCCGCACTAACCCAGGCTCCACCGAGTGGACGGAAGTGCCGGCTGCCGGAGCAGATGGCGGAGAGCGTGCCCGGGCGCAGCAGCTCCGGGTCACTGCTGCCCCCCTGGGAATACGGGCGGGGCCCGTGCTCCACGGGGGCACGAGTGGTCATTCTGTGAGCGAGAGGGGTGTGAGCACGTGCCCACACTCCACACGCATCGTCTGTTTGCTGGAGCCTCCACTATGACACAAGCCCCCTGCACACATTCGCAGTCTGCACCCTTCATACTTATGCTACTGTCTCCCACTGAGCATCCAGGGGAGAAAAAAATGGCAATGTCCACAGAACCCACTTGTTTCCATGAACAGCATCCTGAATGAGGCAACACCAACACATGGCAGCATTTCTGAGAGTCTAAAGATGGGAGTAAAGAGACACCTTTTTCTAGCCACCTCTGAAGCTAAATTGGTATCCACTAACTTACTACGGAATTTACAGGGGGCTCGGTCATGCGCTGAGCGGGGACGTGAACTTCTCGGTCTGAGCTTCCTCTAGCTCCGCACTTTAACAAACCTAGGTCAGATGTTACAATCCCCACTTAGGAGCTTCTCGTTTTCTGTTCCCGAGTCTGTGTAGTTCGATCAGCCCTATCGAGTCTCTACCCTTCCGGAAAGTTCTTTCCTAGGCTAGCATTATGGTCAATGAGACGCTCAATCTGTCATCCGGGGAACCAGCACGGAACAGCTGGGACTAAGATAAAACAAACAGGTGGTATTACTCAACATCAAAATCTACTCAGCTTCTAGAACACCCGAACATAGAGTTGGTCCTCTGATGTTTTCTTCCAGAAATTCCAAACCACAGGAGCTTGAGACACGCAAACACATGCACTATAAAGACAGGCTGTGGGAGGAGGTCAGCGTCGACCCCTCTAAGCGAACGCACTCAGGACCCAGAACAAGAGCTGCGCAGGGTCAGTCCTTGGTTGTAGAGCTGGTTTCAACCCTCGGGGGCCAGGCCTGCCCACGGGGGACACGGCCAGGAGGCTTTGATCCGCCTCGGTGCCTTGCTATGTCGTCTGTTCATCGGCCACCCGCTCTCACTGGGCCTCAAATGGCGAAGAGACGCGCTGTCGCTGTCCCTTCAAAACTGTACCGCCAAGGGGAAGCTCGGCTCTTCTCATTTCCCGATTTCCTGTGTGAGCCCCCACCGCTCCCTTCCTTCACATCAGTGGGAGAAAAAAGACAGAAACAGGTCCCTGTCCCCCTAGGCTGTTCTCATGCTGTGCCCTTCATCCGTCCAAATGGCAGTTCAGCTTTGCCTGCCATCCTCTGAGAATGTTCTCCTTACACTCACTTGTGCACCAGCCTGAGGAATTCGGGAAAAGCTCAGAGGCCGCGTCTATGGGATGATGTTTAAAGCTCTGGTTCCTTGAAACCAAGCTCTGAATATACGAACAGATTCAGACTCGTGTGTGTGTGTGTGTGTGTGTGTGTGTGTATGTATATATATAAACAAAGTGCAAAGAGTTGTTACTTTCTAATGAGAAAAGCACATCTTGAGTGGAAGGCTCTAAACCTCTCTTTAGTCCATTTCACAGTCGCTTCCCACGAGCAGCCTGCAGTCAGCATGCACACTGGGGCAGCCTGGTTTCGTCTGCTCGGCCACGGAGATCTGTTCTGGGGAGGGCAGAGGACCGGGGTGGGCCAATCAGAAACAACCCTGAGGTTTTGGCTAGAATCGCTTGGACCATGAATTTTCATACTGAGACTGCTGAGGGTCATGCAGCCTATGGCAGCTGTGGCCTCTCCGTCCTGCGTGGGAGTCTGAGACTAAACCACGCGGCACAGCGCAGAGCAGAGCTGCTCGTGCAGACCTTCCACCACTTCCACGTGCTCAGTCACACCCACACCAGCAGCCTCCAGTTCGCCAACGGGCTCCAAATGCTGGTCTGCAAACCGCTTTGTTCTGGAGAAGGGATGACCCAGAGGTGAACCTAGTGTTCCCAGGCGCACCCCGAAACACAGTGTCACTCCTAACCTGGCTGGTCTGTAGCAGTAACGGTGCTGTGGCTACTGCTGGACGCCTGCGAAGCCTGAGATGCCCCCTTCCTGTTCCCTGTTCTAACCAACAGAGCAGACCAAGGATCACAATCAGCCAATAAAAGTCAACAAACTTTTATTTGGGAGAGGTTCTGTTGCCTTTAATCAGTTCCCATCACTTGACTGCAACCCTCATCTAAGCCGCCATCACTTCCTCTTTGGACTAGTGTAGGAGTCTCCTCGCTGGCCTCTCCACTTCTGCCCTTGATCCAACTCAGTTTCTTCACAACACAGCAACCAAGGAATCTTGAAGCCAGATTGCAACATCCTTAGGCATCAAACCCTACTTCTCTTAGAGCAAAAGGCAATGCGTTTACAATGGCCCACAAGGCTGCACTCAACCTGACTCCCCTCTGCTCTGTTTCTTCCTGACACCCTCTCCTACCACAGGGACTACGGGGAGGGTGGCAGATCCCTTGCTCTTCCTAGAACATTCCAGGCACGCTCCTGCCTCAGGGCCTTTGCACATGCTGCTTCCCTGCTTGGAACTTGTCCCAAATGGGAGCGCATTTCCCTCTTCCTTTAGGTCTCTGCTCCAATACCACTCGCCAGTTACACCTCCCTTATCTACTCTGAACACTCGTCCCTATCCAATAACTATCTTTAGTCTCACTATCTTTTATTGGATATTTGTCAAACGAGACACGTGCTAAGCTGATGGTGCAACACCATCTTGGGTGTTACCTCCTTTACTCACTAGGGTTGTTTACTGCCTGTCTCCCTCACAGGAATGTAAGCTCCCCGAGAGCAGGGATTTTCGTCTAGTTTGGCTCATTGTGTGTCACCAGGGCCCAGAAGAGCGCCTGGCACACAGCGGGGGCTCCCAATGGACTGAATGAAGGGGAAGGAGGGACGGAGGGCGAGTGGGAGGGAGGGATACGACACCTGCTCCTCACTGAGGAAGCTGTTAAAGGGCAGGAGCTCCAGCTTGTCTGAGAGGTGAAAGCAGCCGGGCCGACCACGTGGGCCGCCTCCTCCCGCCTCCTACACCTGGCTGAGGGGGTAGCTGAGAAACACCCCACTTCCAAGCGGAAGCTGCCAGCAGGCTTCCCGGGGAAGCAGTGAGACCTGGTCCAGGACACTGGTGTACAAGGATGGCTTACCACCAGCCATTTGTATCTCACATGTCCAAGTGCCACAGAGCATGCTCAATGTGTTCTATCACTCCATTTTCAGCAACGAGCTATAGGTAACCAAGGGGAAGAAGTCTTATGCAGATGTGACAGTGAGTCACGGCCTCAGAGGAACCAGAAAGCCATGGAGCTCATTAGCTCGTGTGGCAGGGTTAGACACGGAAGCTCGCGTGGAGATGGGACGGCACCGGCAGGAAGCAGGGCTGGGATCCGCACCCGGATCCCCGGGTTCCCAAGCACAGCCTCTTGGGCACTAGATCCCAGAAGCTCCTAAGTGCCCTGACCTCAGAGCCGCTCTACCCACTGGCTTCCTCCTGCTACAGCTCCCCCAGGTGTTGACAGGAGCAGCTCTCCAGCTGCCTCTCCTTTCAGAGAGAAGGGGCCAAGGCCTCTGCTTCCCCCCGCCCCGGGCAGCATGCTTCCAGCAGACCCCCCCCCCCCCACACACACACACAGGTGCTGCCCGGCTCACTCACCTCCAGTAAACCAGCACAGCAATGAGAAGGACGAGGCACACGAAGGTCAAGGCTGACACCACAATCAGGGGGATGATCCACTCCATCCTCCCCGGGGAAGGGCGGCTTATCATTCCAGAGGTGTTCTTTTCTGCTGCAGAGAGAGACCATGCCAGTTAGAGGACAGAGCCGGCAGGGAGGGGCGCCAGGGTGGCCGAGTTCTGCTCCGGTGTGGGTGCCCACGCAGACCTGGGCTCCCGTGCTGACTGCCCGGTGACTGGAGGGGCACCTGCAGCCCACACATGTCCTACCGAGTCCAACCCAAACCCGGCCTTTCCTGCAGGCGGCACCTGCACCACCAGTGCAGGGTTTGCAGGTAGAGTTCAAGGTGGTTGTAAGGAGAGCTGCGGAGACAGGCATCCCACCTCGCTGCAAGGACGTCGCTGAGCCAGAGCGGCCTGGACACTGGGGAGACGTGGAGCCTGAGGCAGCAGTACCCGCACCCCTGGAGAGGCCGGCGCCTCTGGGCTCGCTGGCGCAGGGCAGGAGAAACGGCACGATGGCTTTGCTACATGAACCGGCTCTGAAGACAATGGTTATGAATATTCTCTGGGAGCTCAGCAGCCATCACCTTCTAATAACAGCACCCCAATTCTGCGTGGGGAGCTGCCGCTCCCTAACAGTCATGGAGGGGCCCCCAGCGTCCCAGCTGAGGTGAGTGTGGCTGCAGCGAGGACAAGGGTGCTCCCGCCCTGGAACCTCAGCCTCGCGGTGTGCACAGCACCCAGCCCAGCCCAGCAGGAGCCCCCGCCCCCCTCCCTGGGCAGCCCTCAGTCCTCAGCACCCAGAGCCCTGGAGCTCCCCTCTCTCCAGCGTTGCCTTTGATGGCATCACCCTCCCCCACCCGCCCGAAAGCTCTAAGCGGCGGAGGACGCCTGCCCCACGCTGCCCAGCAAGCCTGCCTGGGAGCAGTAGCCCGGGCGAGGGGTCCACAGGGGCGTCAAGCCTGCTCTTACCCGGCAGCGCCTGCCTGTCCCAGGCCCGGGAGCCTGGGGGTGGGGGGAGAGCCTGCTCTCGCGTGGCGTGGGCAGGTGCCTGGAAGCCTCCAGGTGGCCCGAATGGAGCGCAGGTGTGGTGCGGGGCTGGGGAGAGCACGGGTGAGCAGAGGCGAAGGTGGGAGGTGGGTGGTGAGAAAGCCAAGGTTAACTGTGACCGCGGAGAAGCCGCCGGACAGATCCAAAGCCGGCTCAGGCTGCCGTGCGCTCGCCAGGACTCCTGCGCTGGGAAAGGAGGCCAGCCTCCGCCAGCGAGTCCCTCTCAGGACCGACTAGAGCAGTGGTTCTCCACCTTGGCTGCACATTAGAATCACCTGGGAATCTTTTTAAAATCCTGATTTCTGGGCCTCATCCTCCGGAAATTCTGTTTCTTTGTTACTAATGTTGTGGCCCCACCCCATAACAAAGAAACAGAATTTCCGGAGGATGGGGCCCAGAAATCGGGATTTAAAAAAGATTCCCAGGTGATTCTAATGTGCAGCCAAGGTTGAGAACCACTGGACTAGAGGGAGGGCTAATCAGGCCGCGTTTCCAAGCGAGAGAAGGTGGGCCGAGCAGAGAGGGACAGTGGCCTTGGGAGCACATTTTTAAAGAGGCCAGGATCCCGAGTAAGGGAGTGTGTCGCAGCCTCCACCGGTTCCCTGGAGCGCCGCTGGTCTGGGTCCCCCCCGCCTCCTGCCGGGCCCTGTGCGCAGGCAGCGCCTCGCGAAGCAGGCAGCACCCCATTTCTGCCCAGCTCACGGGGAGGAGGCCGGGCAGGTGGGCACACCCGACTAAACCGCAGCAGAGCCCTCCGCGTCCATACCTGCCTTCCCAGAGCGGCAGCCACTCCTCCGGACCCACAGCTGCACACGTTTGGTTGGACAGCTACAGGCACACCTCGGAGCCACTACGGGTTCGGGTCCAGACCCCAACTAAGGGCGTACCACAATAAAGCGAGTCGCAATCTTCCTGCTGGTGGAGAGTCTTGTCTTCAATTTGTAAAAAAACACAGTAACCCTGAAGAGCAATGAAGCGAACCGCACAAAATGAGGCCTGCCTGTATCTGCCAAGCCCTACTGTGTGCAGGGCATGGTGCTCGGGGCTGCGGAAGCACCAGGAAGACCCGGGCGGGGCGGGGGGAGGAGCACAAATCATTTAAAGGGGGAGAGGCAGACACAGGAGCGAGCAATTAGAAGAAAGGGAAGGGGAACAGCTGCTCTAGCCCAGGGGCTCTGGAGGGGGCTCCCTGAGTGAGGGTGAGACCTGGGCGTGAGCCAGGCCGAGGGCAGGAAGGACGGGGTCGGACGGAGAACTAAAGGGGTGGGAGTATGAGAACGAGGAGAGGGGACCAGCTGCAGAGTCAGGCCACGTCAGCCAGGACTTCGCTGGCTGAATTGAGAACAGGGATTAGTCCCAGGGCAATGGAAGCGTCCATTCTCCCTCCACGTATCCCTCTCATAGCAAAGCTCTGGGGACAGGCCAGAGCAGTGCTGGCCAACCTATGACACGTGTGTCAGAGGTGACACGCGAACTCATTTTTTTGGTTGATTTTTCTTTGTTAAATGGCATTTAAATATATAAAATAAATATCAAAAACATAAGTCTTTGTTTTACGATGGTTGCAAATATCAAAAAATTTCTACATGTGACACAGCACCAGGGTTAAGTTAGGGTTTTTCAAAATGCTGACACGCCGAGCTCAAAAGGTTCGCCATCACTGGGCCAGAGACATCAGCTGCAGATGAGAATTTGCGGGGCTCCAGCAGGGGGAGCCAGACAGGCAAGTCTCTCGAAGACCTGAGCTCCTGCGCATGGAAAATAGGGCAGGAGGCCAACACTATAGGCCACGCCCAGTGACCTGAGAGTCCACCCGGGGAGGGCCTTGCGTCCTGGAGGGACCCCCAGTGTCACATCTCCTCCCACCTCCTTACACTACAGGGTAGACGGTGGGCAGGGGGCAGAATGCAAACCCCACGTGCTACTCATCTTACCACTGAAAGGGGCTCTTGGCCCGAACAGCCCCTTCACACGGACCTCTCTGTGGGGCGCACATCTCTGTGGGTGCAGATGAAGGGCTGCTGGTGGGCCAGTGGGGCCGGGACTCAGAGAGAGAGAGAGGGGGAGAGAGAGAGAGAGAGAGAGAGAGAGAGAGAGAGAGAGAGAGAGAGAGCCTTTGTCCGAACCATCTTCCAAGTGAGACCCCGAGGAAGGTGCGGCTAACCTCCGAGAGCACCTGCAGGGGCGAGGGAAGTGGCCACCCCGTGGGCAGACAGCTCTCCTTCCTCCAGGTTCCCTTTCAGAACCCAGTCAAGTGCCTCCACTCTGCCTTTTAAAAAAATTTAAAAAAAAGAAAAGAAAAACAGTTTTCAGTGGCATATGTCATCGCTGAATTAATGCTGTTTGCCTTTTCCTGGCTTGGCTCTCATCCCAGTAGCAGCACATACAAGCGGAGAGCACTGCACTGTGGATGCCGCGGGCGGAGGCGTCAGCTGGACCCGACACGCTGCCCGCTGCCCGCTGCCCGCTGCCCGCGCCGCAGGAAGGGCGCGCTCCCGCGGCAGGACAGCAACCCGTCGGCAGGACTAAAGGGGCTCGGCGCCCACGGCCCACTGACCGGGGGGAGGACGCAGGATTCCTTCCCTTTTCCAGAAAGATCCAGGGAGGGACAAGTCGCCCACGCATAACCCTCTAGCCTGGTTCGATCACGGGCAACTTGACTGCATTTGTTCTGAGTGAAAACCACCCTCATCCGTGAATTAAGGCGGCTGCTTTTTACAACAACTGTGGTAAAAAACACATAAAAGTTCCCATTTTAACCCTTTCTAAGAGTCCAGCTTAGTAGTGTGGAGTATATTCACACTGTGTGCAACCAGTCTCCAGAACCTGTTTTAATCTGCAATGCCGGAAGCCGGTCCATCCTTGCTGCTTGACACAGTCGCTGCAGGAAAGAAACATCTGCACAGCATATGTTTCAATGGACCTGGCGTATATAGCATACTGTTCTTAATATGTTTGCTCCCTTTAGCGCCATGTGTTTTAACCAAGGTCACCTCTCCGAGAAAGGTTGTTTCCCCAGGTGGGGATTTTTCCCTGAGGTTAGGGAGGGGATACAACCCCTTAATTAAGTGCCAGGTGGGTAGTTAAGCTACATAATCTTTACTCCCTGGAATGGAGATAAGAAACGCCCTAACCTTTGTAATAGAAATTGACAGGATGAAAATCGGCTGGTATAAATACGGATGTAACAAGACAATAAACATCAGATCCTCATCAGTTCCTAACCAGAACTCCGACCAGAACTTTGGCTGGAGATCCTGGCTAGAGGTCCTGACTAGGCTGCTGATCAACTGAAGGCTGTCTTCGTGTCATTCCTTCTTCGCCGACTCCGTCCACACCTTTGGGGACCCCTGGACCCGCTGGGGTTGGACCCCAACACTGCAAAACGGAAAGTCTGTCCCCATTATCTGCCCCCCCCCCCCCCCCGCCCTGCCCTGCAGCCACCACTCTACTTCCTGTCGCGGTGACTGACTGCTCTGGGCACCCAGGTAAGTGGAATCACAGGTACTTGTCTCTGTGACCGGCTCATGTCACTTAGCGTGACTTCCTCAAGGCTCACCCACATGGAGCATGTGCTTTTTTAAGGCTGAATAATATTCATTAGAATCTAATGATTAGGTGTACGTCCCACACTGTGTCTGTCTATCCACTCATCTGTCCGTGGGCATCTGGGTTGCCTCTCCCCTTGGCTTCTGTACATACTGCCGCGAGGAACATGAGCACCAATGTCTCTTCAAGACCCCGCTTGCCGTTCTTTGGGGCGGGTACCCTGACGTTGGATCACAGGGTAGTTCTGGTTTTGATTTTTTGAGGAACCACCACTGTGTCTTCCATAGTGACTGCACCAGTCTACACTCCCACCCACAGTGCACAAGGGCTCCGACTTCTCCACATCCTCTCCAGCACTTGTCATTTTGTTTTGCGTTTTGATAGTAGCTCCCCTAACAGGTGTGAGGTGAAAGGCGGCTGCTTCTTTAAGGGGCCGTGGCATTTGTCGTTATTGCTCTCGGGCCCTGACGTTCTCTACACCACTGTTGCAGAGACGTGACTGTCGGTGACA